TACCCATTGACTACCGTTACATTTACTACCATCTTTAAACATTATATGGAACTGCAGGAAATGTAAAATTTGTCAACATTTTGTAAATCATTTTCTGGCAACCATATTTTAAACTTGAGGACAACTCTATTTTAAATGTTAAACCACTATATAAATCCACCTGGGAACAGCTTCCGCTAAACGAACATATGCACTATTGGGAGTTTCACCTTAATATCTAAAGGCAGATCCTCAGCTGGTGTAAACTGTCATATCTCCTTTGAAGTCAATGGAGCTATGCAATTTACACCATCTGCGGATCTGCCTCTAGAGATTATATCACCGTGTTACAAAAAATGACCATACCTCATTATTATTTGTGCTAACTTGGGCCTCAGGTTTTACGCATTTGCAAACCCAATGCAAATAATTATCTAACTGCACTTAGTTTATACACTTATTTTATACATTTTTCCAAGACAGTGAAGGGGCAAACTGAGTACATTTTTTAAATGCTAACAATTGAAAAGTAGTATCTGAACCAGACATACTGGTCAGGTACAACCCACCACTCACCTTCTGTCTGGTAACGATTCCCATTCCCTAACCAGGTAAACAACAAGTCTCCTCTCCCCCAACTACCAATGATATATTTCAGAGTTGCTTTTTTTTTAAATAGCTGTAGGGTTTTATAAAATATTTCAGTCCTGTCACTCATTTGGGGCAATGTCTAACAGTAGAACTGGAGTACAATTCTATCAAAGAACTCTCCTGCATCAGAGCTAGTACTATGTGGCTGAGCTATGATAGTCTATGTAACCCACAGGCCAAATCTCAGGGCCAACATGAGTGAGCTCCATGTCTGTTGAAGCTGCCAGATGCGGCGGAAAGAATCTCACCCTTTCCTTACCAGTGGCTACATAATGATCCAACCCACCTGTGTCCTTGAGGATGTGGTTGGGGAAGCACTGAGCATGCTCAGTGCCTCAACACTCACGGGCCAAAAGACATCTGTCTCTGGCACATGGGCACCATTAGTGGAATGTGCCTGTGGACAAGCACTCAAAGGAGAAGATATGGATTCTTCCATGTTGACAGACAAGCAGCCTCCGAAGAACTTTAAAGGGTGTTTCACATCCCTTACAGATCTCCAAATCAGTGTCAGCCAGTAAAGAACACAGGGCCATTAAGCCAAAGAAACGCTCCGTCCAATGAAGTTGGAGGATGAGGCATGGGGAGAACTACTTTCCAGGGTGAACCATAAGAACAGCCGTACTGGGTCAGACCAAAGGTCCATCTAGCCCAGTATCCTGTCTACTGACAGTGGCCAATGCCAGGTGCCCCAGAGGGAGTGAACCTAACAGGTAATGATCAAGTGATCTCTCTCCTGCCATTCATCTCCACCCTCTGACAAACAGAGGCTAGGGACACCATTCCTTACCAATCCTGGCTAATAGCCATTAATGGACTTAACCACCATGAATTTATCCAGTTCTCTTTTAAACGCTGTTATAGTCCTAGCCTTCACAACCTCCTCAGGCAAGGAGTTCCACAAGTTGACTGTGCGCTGTGTGAAGAACTTCCTTTTATTTGTTTTAAACCTGCTGCCCATTAATTTAATTTGGCAGCTCCTAGTTCTTGTATTATGGGAATAAGTAAATAACTTTTCCTTATCTACTTTCTCTGCATCACTTATGATTTTATATACCTCTATCATATCCCCCCTTAGTCTCCTCTTTTCCAAGCTGAAAAGTCCTAGCCTCTTTAATCTCTCCTCATATGGGACCCATTCCAAACCCCTAATCATTTTCATTTTAACCTTTTGTAATATATAGACTATATCCCCAGCCCTTTCTTTCTCCACACCCTTACAAGAGAAGCAACGGACGGCTGCAGCAGCCACTGTGGCCTCAGTGGGATTCAGAGGATCCAGGAGCCACATAGAGTTGCTCAGCTCCCAAATGCCCAAACAGCTCTTCCCCTTGTCTCTGCCCCTTCTCCTTCACACTGTACCTGAATAGCTCTAGTATCAGTAGTGCCAAGAGTAACTATGCAGCAAGAAGGGACTATTGCTTCTTTTACAAGAGTGTAACCAGGCCTAAAGCTTGGCCTCATAAGAGCAAAAAGAAGGTAGCCAAGCCCCAGCCTATGCATGCATGCTTCTGAGTTCCTCTTCAAGGCAGGGAGACACTTCGTTATGTGTACAGTGCCAGCAAGACTGGAGCACCAACGGTAACCACCTTCCCCATCTTGGAGAAGCAGGGCTCTTAGAAATCCTAGAATATCAGGGTTGGAAGGGACCTCAGGAGGTCATCTAGTCCAACCCCCTGCTCAAAGCAGGACCAACACCCAGACAGATATTTGCCCCAGATCCCTAAATGGCCCCCTCAAGGATTGGGTTTAGCAGGCCAATGCTCAAACCACTGAGCTATCCCTCCCACCCTCTTAAGGGAGAGATGCTAGGCTGCTGTGAAAGGAAGCTTAGCCCATGTGATGAAAAGGATCTTGGGATCTCAGAGGAGAAAATGTGATTTGTGTGTTGGGAGGTAGGGAAATTGATTTTGAAGAACAGTGATATATTTTAGGGCAGGAGTTGGTTTTCTAGGGGCAGAACTGATTGTGTGGGATGGGGATTCAAATCTGAAAGTGAGAGGAAATAATGCATAGAGCATACTTGGATAATATGGGTGATTGTTGGGGAGTGAATTGTATAGTAAGTTATTTTGTTTGTGAGGGAGCCTTTCATAAACGGTCTCCCTGTCCTCGGCTTGTACTAAAGAGTTCACTTCACTATGAGGAGGAAGGGACCTCCAAGGAAAGAGAATAAGACATAAGGGGCAGAGCAAGATATTCCTACTCCTAACTGCCCAATTTTAAAATGCTACTCCTACCTCCCATCTGATTCCCTCATTCCCTCATGCCCCATTCCTTCTCACTGCTCCAGCTGCAATTCCCAGACTCTCCTACTGAATTTCTTCTTGCCAATCCCTCCCTCCAGCAACCCAATTCTGTATCTGATCTGTCCCATACCAAAGAATCTTCCAATTCCAACAACATCTGATATCTTCTCCTAGTAAAGACAGTTCACCGAAAACATTCTTCTGGCTCTTAGAGTAAAAGCAGAGATTAAAAGAACATTCATCTCTTCACTATGAACTGAATATCATCCCATTACATATGCAGACTTGATTCCCATGCAGGCCCCATACATAAAATGTATGTAAACACCATTTCTCCTTCTCTCTCTAACTTGTATAGGTAGCCTACCTCTTTCCATCTCCACTTTATTCTGTACACTGAACTGAGATTTTTTTTTTTTAATAACTGGTAACAAACAATACTAAAGCACACCTAAGAACTTTAAAGTTTCATAAAAGCTATGAAGATACTTCCTATGACATATAAGAGAGATTTCTTAAGGGATAATACTTTAAACAGCCTTCTGAATAGTGATAGATTAAGAGGCTGTGCAACAGCCTGAATAGTAGAAATAGGAAAGCAGTAATCAAATTTGGTTTGTAGATAATGTACAGAAAATAGAGCTGAAGCTATTCCTGTCCCAGTCCTCTTACTTCTTCAAAAAGATGTTAACAATGAAGATTAAAAACAACAAAATCTCTGGGAGTTTATGCCAAATGCCATATTTTAATTTTTGTATAAAGGGACAAATTTTAAATGCTTGTGAGAAACTAGCCTAACTGGCAGGCAGTTTATCCCTCCATGCCAGATAATATTTACTTCTGTGTGATAATAGGAGTTACACAGCACACTAAGGGAAGACTGGGGATAACATTTTCAAAAGCAGCTCAGTGATTTAGGTGCCTAAATCCCATTAAAAGTCAATAGGCACTTTTGAGAATTTTGCCCTAATCTCAAGGATATGCTAGATCAATGAGAATATTCTTTAAAAAGCAACAGATTTACAGATTCAGACTAACACGGCTACCCCTCTGATACTTGAGAATATTCTTGTATTCCCAAACCTACTCCATATTACAGTACTTGTTCATTACAAGTGGTTTTGGTCATATGTATGAGCAACCTGAAAAGATACAACCAATTTAGAATCAGTAACCCAGAACAACATTAATTAATCACTGATTTGACTGGGTTCTTTGAGGTCAAATGCCAGAGTGAATAATGAGGCACAAGATTGTTATGTTACTTTTTTGTCACAATACTTACTAGGGACTGACTATTCCTTTACAGCTTTATCCTGCAAGTGTTGACTGCCTTCTATGAGATGAGAGTTGAGGGCTCTTAGAACCTCATATGACCGGCTCTTTGAAGAGAATATTAATCTAAAACAAGCATAAATTCTTATCTTAAGACAAAGGTTCTTTTTTAGCAAGTCTACTAACCAGACTAAATTAAAGGCACTTTTTGGTATATAAAAAGTTTAAAGGTTCCTTTTAGTATCTCTTTCCACATGCAACTACAATGACTCCTCTTTACAGAATGATGTATGATGAATAGTGGTGTACTTACAATACCAGGAATTAAACCTATTTCTAGTGACTTCTGGCCTGATTTTCTGAAGTTCTGAGCATCCATAAATCCCATGTAAATCAAGAGGAGCTGCAGGTGCTCAGCACCTTTGAACAATCAGACTGTAAATGCTTGTCTCTATATTATAATGTTTTAAAATTAAAAAATGTTTTATTATGGTCAAAGTTTACCTTTTTGGTAGAATGTGTTAGCTAACCTGCCATCATAATCACTCTTGTAGTGGCTCAGAATTTTTTTAAATGAAAAATGTATACTAAATGTTTAATACACTATGGTAGCTGCTGGTCAAAATTAATATACCACAAAATAAAATTCATGATAAACTCACTTTGGAACAATTTATACAAAGCAGTAAATAAATAATTTGCACTTCAGTCTCATTAAAAAGTAAAACAGTACTTCACACCACAGTATTATCCTATCTAGATAATATAAACTTGTTATCCTTTATTGCATCATAATTTGAAGATAACATTTTAAGATTAAGTAAAATATGTAAAGAAACAGAATAATTAGATTTACTTCCTTTAATATTGAACAACCAAAGTTTCTCTTTTGTACATAATCCATTTTTAAGATAATATAATTAGCACTTCCAGCATTAACAGTCTGTATGTACAATGAATGAGCTGGGCAGGGAATCTAAATAAGAAGAATCTTCAAATCTGTATGAAATGCAAATCAAAATGCAAAGATTTACAGTAGGCTTAACTCCAAGATTCTTCTATTTATGGGAGACAATTAAAATGCTTTACTTTCTTTATTACCTGTAAGGGTTCCTGAAATGATTTTGGTATAATATTTTAAACATTTGAAATCTTCAATAATGCCTTCATTATTTTGCACATTATATTAAAAATTCATTCCAATACTTCTACATCAGCTTTTGCTTTTTTGTAGACTGGTTGAAATCTGACGAAAGGATAATGAGGAAATTTATTATGTAATCCTAATTTCATATTCCTGGATACACAATGGGTTGAGAAGATTGTGCTGGTCTATTCCACGGGTCAGGTACACAAAAGTTATGCGCGTTTTAAAATGTTCTTCGCTCTTGCATAAAATGTGTACAGAGTATGAATGAGCAGGAAAACATCAAAGTTTTTATGGATTGCAGCTGGCATGGACCTTTGTTGATTGAAAATAAAATATCATTTGCTCTATTGTTCTTGTAGCAGTATTAGAAGTTAATCATCAATCCCTGGTGTTTCACCCTGTTGTATTCTGGAGGCTATTCTGATGGCTTCTTCCAAAGACTGCTGCTCTCCAAGCTGAAACAATGGTATGTGAAAAACATAAATTGATCAAAAACATTGCATAAGATAGATCACTGTTTTCTTATGAGAGAAAGGGGGAAAAGCAAAAATTATACCAGTCAATCCTCCTTTCTGCAGTAATTGTGATAGCCAGTATTGTCAAATTTTTCTGAATAATATGTACTAGCAGTTATCTAATCAGTTATCAAAATGAAAATACACCCGAGGAATTAAGCTCAGTTTGCTGAATGGCCTTCAGAGTCTTGGTGCACTGCAAACAAATTTCACCACATGCATTAGAGATAATCTTTCAACTTGGCAGATATTAAAAGAAACTGCTAAGATAAGGTTTTCAGCAAGCAAGGCAGGTGCTAAATAATGACCTATTAATACTCACAAGCCAAAATGTATGATACCACTTTTCTTTAAGTTTTCAGCATATAAACAAGACTTTGGGAACAATGGCATATTTTTTTTTATATATACAAGTGGCAAAATTCAAGTTGATGGAATCAAAAAGTTGGAAAATAGTGATGACAGTGCTCAACACTGCAGCAGTTTAAAAAAAGAAGACTCTTGTGGCAGCAGCTACAGGACCTTCGTATCACTGTTAGAAGCCATTCCATCAAACTCTGATTTTTTGTTGTTGGAAATGGTTCTCAAAGTATTCTATATCAGTGAACTCAGGGCTGAAAAAGTAATCTTTAAATTGTACTAACCTGACCATTAGCCATTACCAAGTTGCAGAGAGGGTGAAGACAAAGTGAAGAGACAAAACAGACTACATGACAGATGACTAGATCTCAGAGGATAGTTCCCTAGTCCAAGTAAATGTGGTTTTTATCGTCACCAGGTGAGAAATTCTGGCCATACTGCAGTCAATGAGAGCTTTGCCGTTGACTCCAACAGGACTAGGATTTCACCCTGAACGTGTATCATTCTACTGGCCTCATTAATATTTAGAAATCAATGGAACACATTTATTAGCATAGAGGGATGGTGGAGGAATTGTTCTTAAGTGGTAACTATAGAATTTTCTACCTTTGCTATTTTGATATATATTTGAAACTTTTATTAATATAGATTTTCCTCTGCATCTAAAGACTGTCAGAAATTATGTACTACTGATAAAGGCTATGAAATTAGTGAAAGTAAGATGTTCAGAAAGAACATGATACAACAAAAGAAATAAATGGATTTGCCTATAAAAAGGCCAGTAAATAAATATTATTAGAAGCCTGCAAACCTGACACTTTTGCCTCACAATGTGATCAATTTTCTTTTTCTCTGTCAGCACATGGTCAATTTGTTACCTGGCAGGAGCTGAAAAATGTACACACTCCTGAATCCTAATTAACTTTTGAATATTGCAAATTCAGAATATTTATTCCAGCCAGTAAACATGGCACTGAGAGTGATTTTCACTGTATCCCAAATACTGGCAGTTTAGAATATCTGCTAGACTATGTTGCTAAGAGACACTGGCTGGCTGCTTATGCACTTTCATGTTCTTGATAAGCAGTTAAGGAAATCTGTAAGACTGGGCATTGTTTCAAGTTTCTGTGTAGAAAGGAATAATACATTTTCAAGTATGGAAGTGTTCAGTTAATCCTGCTTTCCATATGCCCCGCCAGTTCTAGATATAGGAAAACTAACAAAATTTAGGAGATCATAGTATTATTATTCTCTATTAAGTATTTAAGAGTAATTTTTCAAAACTAATTTACAGCATATGAGACATATTTTATGGGGATACATTTTCAGCCCGGTTTGTGGGAATTTAGACATGCAAATCCTATTTTATATTCCTTTTTGGGGGGGGGGGTTGTTATACCTTAAATTTAAACTAGTTCGGTCTAACTAGTATTACTGGAAATGTAAGTCTAGTATTAATTAAACAGGCTTTCCTGGACTGATTTGCCAGTGTACTTCAATTCTGACCCAGAGTGATAACTTCTGTGAGTGAAAGGGCCATTTGTTTTCCTTGCCCATTCAATCACTGGATGCTCTGCTGAGGGTGCCAAGATGGGCTTATTACTCTATTGCTTTTTGTTATTTGTATAACTAATTTCAGAGAGACCATTCAATTCCCTCACATAGTACCCAATTTTAATCAATACCAATTTAGGCAAAATTAGAACCAATGTCTTAGAACTGAAAGGCTCTGTAATTCATTACCATTTCAAATTGTGTTCCTTTTCTCATGAACCAAAGTGACAATGATATCCTCTCATACTCAGACCTCCAATGGAAATAAAAGGAAATAACCTGTAATAAGAGCTCTTTGAAAGATGTATGCATTTGAGAACACAGAATATAGTTTTCATGGGTGTGTCACCTTCTTAGTTTGGAACCTTTTAATCTCTGTTAGTTTTATCAAATATGTATAGTTTTGAATGGTCAAAACACTTCTGAAGAGTTACTGATTGTGACCCAAGGAGCCTCTTAAATACCAATTGGCAGAGGGCACACCATACCATAGCTCTTATCAGGCCTGACACACTCATTGCCCCCAACTCACTGTTGTCATAATCTGTATCTAAAAGTTACCATGTAAGATGATGTCATATGCAAATTGGTCACATGCTGGTCCTCAATATTATTGTGTGATGTACATACTGGCAGTGTATAAAGAATTATAGACGTGTGATAGAAATTTGTTCCTAAAATGTGTTTGGTAGGTAGTGCCTGAGCCCAGCCCATCTTAGACAAAGGAACATTGTTTCGCCCAGCTTGACAATGTCTCCAATGTAAATTAACCAAGGTGAGATCAAAGACAATGAAAAAGGCATTTACGTGTAAGGTAAACAAAGTCATCAGGTGAGCAACTGGCAGAAGATGACCACTTAACAATCACGACAGGGGATTGTGGCTGCACCACCAGGACGCCTTCCTGCCTCTTGAAACAAGATCAATAAACTTTGGGAAGATATAAGCAGAAGCAAAAAGCCATTTCGTGATCCATCATAGGACAGAGACAAAGGGCCAGTGCTCTTGTAATCTGAGAAAGTTGAATCCTTCAACCAAGGGGGATGAAGTGTCTGGGAACTGACTCTAGATGAGGAACCTGCTTAAACAGAGATTTAAAAGTTTTAGTCACTACAAAGCATGTTTTGTTTTGTTTTACTTGTAACCATCTCTGTGCCTTCTATTCTTACTTACTATCACTTAAATATCTGTTTTTTGTTAATAAACTTGTTCTTGTTTATTATGAAACCATCTCAGTGCTGTATATTAAACTGAAGGGTAAAATCCTCAGCCAAACTACCAGACTGGTGTGTGTGTTCAGTCTCTTTGGAGGCAATGACCATAATAACTTCTGTGAGGGACCAGTGATGCTCTGGACACTACAAGGAGGATGGTTTTGGAGAGACTTGGGACTGGAAAGGCTGTTGGAGTAACCAGGCTGGTGGAAGCCAGGCTGAGGCCATTGTGCTGTGAGCAGGCTGCTGATGTCAGGGCTCTGAGCCAAAGCTGAACAGCACAGAAGCACCCAGTATTAAAGGCAGGCAGTGACACAACCCATTATTTGTCTGGGTGATCCCCCAAAGCATCCCACTGATACACTCAGGTAAATATCACAAAATATATTCTACATGAAACTGATAATGAAAATGGCATTTACGTGTAAGGTAAAGTCATCAGGTGAGCAATTGGCAGAAGATGACCACTTAACAATCAAGACAGGCTTATTCAGTATTTCCTTTCCATGCATTACTAATTACTAAAATATTTTTTACCAATATTAATCTTAATTTCCAGGTACATTCTCTTCCTTTTACCTCATCTATTTGTGATACTTATTGCTGTAATAACAAACACCCTTATTTCCTTCTGACTCTGCTGCTACCCAAACTATACTTGTTACGTGCATAAAACAGAAGATACGATTTCTGGAGATGTCAGTCCTGCACAAATCTAGATACTGATTTCAATTAGCGGTTTCACTATTGGTATTTCAAGCCATAAATAACATAGAATCAGTCTGCCAGGGGAATCATTTCAATCCCTTTATCTAGTCCTGGCAATGTAAATTAGGGAGTTTGGAATTTCTGACCATCCCAAAATATAATCTTGAAGGATGGATGGCAGGGCTTCTCACTGAAGGCCTGTGCCTCTGGAATACTCTATCAATATACATGAAAATGTATAAATATGGCACTTTTCCAGGTATGGCTCAATATGCTTCAGTATTTTTAATTAATTTTACAATTTGATGGGTGCTACTTTTATGTCTGAAAGAAGGAAATAAGGATGTTTGTTATTTCTGCATCCACGCTAGTATTTTTTATTTATTTATTTAAGTATTGGGCCAGACTGCCCTTTATTTTTATTTTTTTGGGGTGGGGAGGGGGGGGTGGGGAGAGAAGTTTATTAGTTATTTCATTAGGTGCCCAGAGACCATTGGACAAAGGGCACACACTAAATAAAAATGATTATCTTACCTGCACTGCAATTTGCGTTCCATTGGATGTAGCCAACAATGTAACAGGCCTGGTTTCTGTAGTCACTAAGTGATGCCCATGTTGCTGATGTCCCATTTCTGATGGGGCACTATGGAATGCTAAATCTTGAGCCACTATAGCAACCTTTAAGGCAAAAGAAAAAATCAAAACTAACTGATATTTAAAATCTGTTTCAATAATCTCAGTTGAATGTTAACTTCAGGGCCTACGTAGGACAATTCACTATTCTAACTTGATTCAGCAAAGCAATCTAAGAGACAGACAAATATGATCAACTTTTTTATAAACCAACACCACCATCATCATGTTCATGCTCTTCTTCAATCTTATCTGTCGTGACCTCTGAAAAGATTAATATCCTCAAGGAGCAAAACTCAGAATTAAGGGAGATGCTATGAGCTAATCATCAGATGTTACCTCTTTCAGTCCTGAGAAATACAAGACTGAATTCACATTTAAATTTAAATCTCTCCTTTGGCAACCTAATAAGGTACCACAGAAAAGCTCAAATGCTTTTATATTTTCAAAATTTAAATAGAGAAGACTGCATTATTTGCACATAGGTTTAGTATATTTGCTTAATTTGTGATTATTAGATCCCTAATTCTATAATAATTAATAAATATTCTCATTTGCAAGCACACCTTTAAAACAGATATAATAGGGGATCGTTTTACAACATTTGAATACATTCTGAAAAACAGGGATTAGGGAATTTCATAACTAAATTTCTATACATCTTTCTGAAAAAAAAAATCTAATGTTTTGCAGATTAAAGGCAAAAAAGTACAGCAAAATTTGCCAAAAACCAAGTACTTTTTTACTCTGCTTAAGGAAATGTTGTCCCTTAATGGGATTTGCAGGAGACTAAGAGCCAGGACTAGTTCTGGATTCTATTCCCAGCTTTGTCACGGGTTTGCAGTATGACTTGGGCATGTCACAACCTTTCTGTGCCTTATTTTACCCATCTGTAAATTGGTTCTCTCATCACTATTCACAGGTTGTTTTGAGGTTCAACTAATTAATGTATATAAAACTCTGAGATCCTTTCATGTAAGGCAGTGGAGAACAATGCATTAACATGTTATTATGAGAGGAATGATATAGTCATGTATGGAAAGCTTTGCTCTAATCAGATATGTTTGTGTGAAGCAGATAATACTTCAAGTGTCTTTGTGTATATATTTAAAAATATCTTAGAAAAAAAGACACAGGTATGCAGAAAAATATTTTACCTGCTGTCCTTCAGTGCCCTCTGCAGTTACCATTGCAACAGAATGTGTTCCTGCAGAAGAAATGACTGCATCATGGGCAGGGACTGTGATGGTGGTGCCATCTTGTGTTACCATAGTAATAGTATTTCCAATGGCCTGCATGTCAGCCTGAGAGATGTTGACCTGAAACACAATGTAATTTTTGAATTAAAACAAGTTTATTTTAATTGCTGATTGAATCTTAAATGAGTTTTAACTTTGGGTCATATGGCAATGTGTTTTCAGACAACAATCCAAGATTTGTAAATGTTTCCAAATAAGAGTTTAAATAAAGACAACACAAACTTAAAATACAACAGTTTTTAAAAATATGCTTCTGCCATCTGGTAGCACAATTTCTTTGTCAATGAACAACAAGCCAGAACTATCCTTGAGAAGACAGTCGATTCTCAGTAGCATTGAAGAATTTACTTTATCCAGTCATCACATTTAAGCTAAACTGGCTATAGACTCTAAAAGCCACCACCACTCTTCCTGCTCTGCTTGTTCCTGCATTTCCTCCAAACCACTTTTCTTCCACAAGCCGTCTTGGACAAAAAGAGTCACCATCCCAGCTCTTTTACTGGTTGGAATCCATTATCCCACAATCTTTCAGACGTTTCCTAATTCATAACGCACGTTTACAGAAATAAAACTAAACTGCAATGGATAGGTAACAGCAGCATGTATCCTCTTTCAGTCAGAGAACTGCTTAGTAGTTCTGTTTTAATTAGATCATGTCCAAATTAACCTCAGACATTTAGACTGTCCATAGAAGTGTCTTGCATGAGGAACAGTATAACTAAAAGTTTCACTAAAAGTGTTGGAGATGTGAACTCAACATGCCATTTTACATTTGTTTTGTCTTAACAGAAGTGTCAAACACACCTGCATTTTCATTTGGCTTAGAACATGCTGATAAAATATCATTGTAATTTTTCTTAAGAATTCAAAGACATAAGTATTTATTTTATGTTTTCAGTCTAATATGCATTACCAAACAGAAAAGAAATCCAAAAACGAAAGTCAAGTTGAGGTATAAGAACAAGTGCAAAGAATTTCTGTGTTAAGGCTGCCACACTCATTCACCTTTGGGCAGGACTGGCTCCAGGGTTTTTGCTGCCCAAGAGGCGGGGGAAAAAAAAAAGCCGCGATCGCAATCGCGATTGGCAGTGCTCCAACAGCAGCTCCACCGCGCCGCTTTCTTCTTTGGCGGGAATTCGGCTGCAGATGCTTCCCTCCAAGAAGGACCCGCCACCGAATTGCCGCCGACCAGCCCGACGTGCTGCCCCTTCCCCTTGGCCGCCCCAAGCACCTGCTTGCTGGGCTGGAGCTGGCCCTGCCTTTGGGCATAAAAAATACACTACAATAATGGTCTCAAACACTACAATATAGTGTTACTGCAGTGTTAAGGCAGAACTGTATATTTAATCTTTGATTCATATTTGGGAGGTATTTTTCAGATCTAAATACATATATCAACTACTTGCCCTGCTGAAATATAAAAGGATGTGTCTTGTTAGTGTTGCAGGCCCCAAACAAGAAATAAAACAGATGAACCTCTTATGGCAAGGTCCTATTTCAGCTAAGTTCCTTATTTACCACTTAAATGAAAACAAACTTTCTGTAGAGATCTTTGTGCTGAGGTAGTATCAGTGCACTTCTTGTTCCTCTCTTGGCAGTGACTGAAGCCTGCCTTAGTTAGTAGTGATGGGAACTGTCCAGCAGCCCTAGAGCTGGCAAGCCCCTGCATTCAGAAGGTCAGAAGTCTGGACAGATACAGGAGAGTAAAACCTGGACCTGTGAGATCATAACAGCTTATTAAGGAATTTCAGGAAGCCTCAGAAACCAGGCTCTATGCAAAGAAGTTCTTATTATGGGGTGTGGCAGTGGGGGTGAGCAAAATGAGCCTGCAAAGTTTCTAAGGCCTTCCAACCCTGAGAGAGGGAACTGATCAAACAAACAGTAATAAGTCACCAGGACCAGATGGCATTAACCCAAGAGTTCTGAAAGAACTCAAATATCAAATTGCAGAACTGCTAACCCTGGCATGTAACCTCTCTCTTAAATCAGCCTCCGTATCAGATGACTGGAGAGTAGCTAACATAACATTTATTTTTAAAAAAAGGCTCCAGAGACGATCCTGGCAATTACAGGCCAGTGAGCCTAATTTCAGTACCAGGCAACTTGGTTCAAACTATAGTAAAGAACAGAATTATCAGACATATAGATAAACACAACACGTTGGGGAAGAGTCAATACAGCTTTTGTAAAGCGAAACTGTGCCTCACAAGTCTATTAGAATTGTTTGAGGGAGTCAACAAGCATGTGGATAAGAGTGATCTGGTCAATATAGTATACTTGGACTTTCAGAAAGCCTTTGATAAGGTCTCTCACCAAAGGCTCTTAAACAAAGTAAGCAGTCCTGGTATAAGAGGAAAGATCCCCAGTAACTGGTTAAAAGACAGGAAACAAAGGATAGGAATAAATGGTCAGTTTTCACAATGGAGAGAGAGAGGTAAATAGTGGGATCCCCAAAGATCTGTACTGGGACCTGAGCTGTTCAACAGATTCATAAATGATCTGGAAAAAGGGATGAACAGTGAGGTGGCAAAATTTCCAGATGATACAAAGTTACTCAAGGTAGTTAAGTCCAAAGCTGACTGAGAAGAATTGCAAAGAGATCTCACTGAACAGGGTGATTGGGCAACAAAATGGCAGATGAAATAGAATGTTGATAAATGCAAAGTATTGCACACTAGAAAACGTAATCCCAACTATACATACAAAATGATGGGTTCTAAATTAGCTGTTACCACGCAAGAAAGAGATCTTGGGGTCACTGTGGAGGGGAGGGATAGCTCAGTGGTTTGAGCATTGGCCTGCTAAACCCAGGATTGTGAGTTCAAGTCTTGAGGGGGCCACTTGGGGATCTGGGGCAAAATCAGTACTTGGTCCTGCTAGTGAAGGCAGGGGGCTGGACTTGATGACCTTTCAAGGTCTCTACCAGTTCTAGGAGATGGGATATCTCCATTAATTAATTTTTTAAATTAATGGATAGTTCTCCGAAGACATCTGCTCAACATGCAGTGGCAGTCAAAAAAGAGAACAGAGTGTTAGGAACCATTAGGAAGGGGATAGATAAGAAGAGAGAAAATATCATAATGCTACTATATAAATCCATGAGACACCCAAACCTTGAATACTTTGTGCAGCTCTGGTTGCCCCATCTCGAAAAGGATATATTAGAATTGGAAAAGGAACAACAAAAATGATTGGGGTATGGAACAGCTTCCATATGAGGAGAGATTAAAAAGACTGGGACTATTCACCTTAGGAAAAGAGATGACTAAGAGTGGATATGATAGAGGTCTATAAAATCTTGAATGGTATGGAGAAAGTGAATAGGGAAATGATTTTTTTACCCCTTCACAGAAACTAACGGTCACCTGGTGCAAATAATAGACAGCAGGTTTAAAACAGATGTAAGGAAGCACTTCTTCACACAACGCACATTCAACCTGTGGAATTTGTTGCTATGGGATGTTGTGAAGGCCAAAAAGGCTTTGTATTCATACTCTGCTCAGAACAAACAAAGGCCTAACCTATGTATTCCAGAGGAAGCCCATTCTTAAACTTATTTTTATTCTGACCCAGATGTGAAACCTGGCCCTAATACATACAAACATCCATTATTCAGGGATTTTAACTCTAACGTAAGTAGGCATAATGGAATATCTGAAGATAAATAATAGCTTTAATTCTGAATATCTTCTTGTTAGCAAATTCTTTACCATGGTGAATACTTACATGCTGGGTCCCATCCTGGGAAATTAATGCAACTTGTTGACCAAGCCCTGACTGAGTAACTGTAGCAACTTGTGCGGAAACGACATCCTCCCCATCTACACCTGTGACATAGGTTATCTGGGAGCCTTTTAGAACATCTTCACCTTGACCTATTTCATAAAAGGAAGGCAGAAGGATATGTTACATACTGCAAATACTAATGGTAATAAGAGTAAAGCTAAAAAGAAAAAAGCAACTTTCTGGATAAAAAGTTTTAAATTTTGGGTTGTAAAGAGGGGAGGGGAAGAGAGAGAGAGAAGGAAATGGAAACTGCTATTGAAATCAAATAAAAATGCCCCAAATGACTGTTTTACTAAGTCTGGGACATATTTTTTAAATGGAGAATAATGCATATAAATCCTGTGCATTGAAAAGAAAATAGACATTTTGGTATTCAAGGCATATTTACATAGTTTATAAGCAAAGATAATATTAAAAAGGGTGACAAACAATACTGTGATTCATTTAATTAAACATTAACCTTTACATACTAAGGTTTGATGTAATCACAATCAGCAGCTCATTAAAAGAATTATTCATTAACGAACACACTGAACTGCAGAGGAGTAGAGTGGCATCATTGTGTGAGGACTGATATAACAGTATATTATCTTAATAAATGTTTAACCTTGGCAAATAGAAATCTTCCATTCTAATCTTTGCTTTGTAAGTAGCAATCAGAATGCGGCAATTTACTTAAGAGGGGTTTCACTGCAGTCTCCCATATACAAATAGTAAAATTGCTTTTCCAGTCAGGATAGATCACTTATTTACATCTACCCTATATCCAACCCCAACACCAGCTAAAATAAGAATGTAAAAAATGTTTGTTTTCTTGCAATAAGAAAATGCATTTTTTCATACTGCAATCAGTCTGACTTTTTACTCTGACTGGATTTAGTCTCTAAAGTACCATAAAGACCGTTTTCTACATAGTGCTCCTACATACAGAAAAACTGCTTGCCAACAGTAAATGGACATCTTGTATGGGCTGTGCTGGGGGCAGATCCATAGAGCATAGCACTGTGGGCATTCTCAACAGCCCCACTACCCCCAGGGCAGCCCAGAAAGGCTGTTGTAAAGGCCACTTTGGTTCCAGAAGTAGCTCAAAATCAGGAGGGTGCAAAGATAGTGTGAAGCCACTTTTTTCCCTCCCTTCTCCAGGACTGCGCCTTTAAGATCAGAGCACAGACTCTCACGCATGGTGTTTTATATACTTAGAAGAATCCTTTAGGATGTAATATAAACATTTTGTCTATTTTCGGGCCTGCTTCAATATGATATTCATAGACGGTGTGATCTAGTGGTTAGAGCACAGGAAGGCTGTTTCTCTGTTTTATTCTCAGCTTTGCCACTGACTTGTTTTATGACCAAGTCACTTACTCTCTCAGTGCCTGATTACTCATCTAGAAGATGGATATAGTAATATCTACCTATTGTGCCTCACACGGCTATTTTGAGGTTTACTTAGTGTTTGTAAAGCACTTTAGTACTCTCAAATAAAAGGTGCTAGTTAGTGCAAAGTATTACTGAAGAAAATATCACACCTGTCTTTTAATTCCCCTGACTCTGTGGAATACTGATAGTCATAAGTGTGTGCTGGATGCAATCTTTTATTTTGCTACTATGGGAGGAAGATCAGAGACTGGGAATACCAAACACAAACCTGGAGGCGGCTCAAAGAAAGCTTCCTGCTCTTCTTCAATTGGCTCTGTGTCGTTGTGCGCTGTCCGCTTGTGCATAGCAAGTGTGGAAATCTGCTTGTATGTTTTCCCACAGTGATTGCAGTTGTATGGTTTGGAATGAGTATGTACAACATGATGTTTGTATAAACTGGAATATTCTGTGAAACGTTTGTCACAGCCAGGAACTGTGCAGACATAGGGCTTCTCACCTACAGGGAAAGACAAAAGGGATGAAGAAAATTATAACCAGGATATGCAGGAAAACCCTGACAATAAATATCCTGCCACTTACACAGACATTTAATGACACAGTTTTACTACCACCCAGATCAGTCATGCGTTCTCCAACTTCCTTTCCTAACGCAGCAATGGCCACAATGCAATGCATGGCTGTCCTCTTTAATACCGATGTGCTGCTACAATAGGCTGGCCCTACCGTGCTGTCTGAGGAGACTATTCAGATCAAGAAGGACCATGCATGCTGGATCTCCTAATTTTCATGTGCCAGATATTCATACTAAAGATGAGAGAAGCTGCAATCTGCTCCACTATCTGAAAATAGCACGTGGCTCTCCAAGCTCCTGGCAAGATGCCAATATAGCCCTCACTTTGCCACAGTATTCACAATTCTGCCCTAACTCTTTACATTAGCTGCCCCTCTGACTTCATACAAAGTTCTGCACTTATCCTCCTTCAAAGATGAAATGTGTTATTTGGTCTGGTAAGTTAGAGTCCCAAACCTCAGTCTCTTTAGCTCTATAGGAATTTTATGGGATTTATATATATATAAAAATGATTAAAGCTAAATAGAAGTGACATTCTTCACTTAAAATCAATATAACACACACTCAAACCCAAAAATCAGTTCAAGAGGTATACAAAATCTTCAACTCCAGGAAATTTATTCATCCCTGCTAACAATGAAAAAGAGGAGGATACAAAAAATCATGGCTACAGGTCTGTAGGACCCTGCACATGGATGCAGTGTTACTTCTGCTAATTCAGCCTAGCAGTTAGACCAGGTGGATCCTGTTAGGTCCAGAAGAGGAGGTTATTCACCTGTGCAATAACTGACGTTCTTCGAGATGAGTGCTCCACTCCAGGTGTTGGTGCGCCCCTGCGCCTTTGCTGGGAGTTTTTTACAGCAGTACTCACACGGTCCCGCACATGCGCGGTGCCAGGGCCGGTGCTACCAATACGGCAAAGTAGGCGGTTGCCCAGGGCGCCAAGATTTGGGGGCACCAAAAAACGGTGCCTCCAATTTTTTTTTTTTTACTAGCATTCCCAGGCTGGGCTGCTGGCGGCGCGCTGACATGTGCGGCTCAGACTCCCTCTCCCAGCGCAGTGGCCACTCCACTTCTCCCACCTCCCAGGCTTGCGGCACCAATCAGCTGTTTGGCGCTGCAAGCCTGCGAGGAGAGGAGAATTAGAGCAGGGGCGGCATGCTTGGGGAGGAGGCGGAGCAGAGGTGAGCTGGGGTGGGGAGCTGCTGCACAGCTCCCCGGGCCGGAGGGGTGGGGAGCTGCTGTGGGCGGGGGTGTGCTTCAGGACGGGGGGAGGGGGGGAGCTGCCGCAGGGCTCCCCACCCCAGTTCACCTCTGCTACGCCCCCTCCCCGAGCACGCCGTTGCTGCTCCACTTCTCGCACCAATCAGCTCTTCGGTGCCACAAGCCTGGGAGGGAAGGAGAAT